ATAATAATGGTCATCTATTTATGAGGTTAGTTCTTGTCTGAGCACTGAACTGGTCATCGGACTGACCCTTTCAGGTCACTGAGATCTGAGTTATTTCATAGATTGAATGCGTTTTTGAAGCTTTTAATAGAATTCTGCTTCGAAACGAGCCCTTTTACCATCAAATATTTACGGGCCTGAGTCCTCGAAGGGCAATTGAGGAATTCCTTGTAACTAGAAGTACCGTAGAGGAAATGACGACTTTGCTCAAGCCCAGAGGGCTATGACTCTTTGGTGGTTGGACACATTCAAAGTACATTAATTGCCATAGAGTGACGTGATCCGTGGAAGGAGTTCTTCGAATGCTCCTATCTCCTCCCATCTAAGGGGATTTGTCCCTGTTCAAGTGCGGTTGCTGATAACTTTGGCAGTACTATCGACACTTGTAGAATCAGGTTCTGTTGTTCACACCGTATACAACGAACCAAGTTGTGAGTTCGAGTCTTATATCGAGTTCCCTGGTGGTGGAGCACCTAAGGACAGTCCATGCGCTCAACCGATTCGCAGGCATCCTTCCCTGTCCAAGCAATCTGGTCCTCAATCTCTGAGACCGTTTCACTTTTGCGGTTTCACAGCAAGTAACTAGGCGCTGCGGCTCTAACAATTGGTAGTTCTAATACCGCTTCTAATTGTAGCGCCCACAAAAACTTAAAGGCTATTTTTATACGAGTTGAGTATTCACACCATATTTGTTGAAGTTTTTTCCATTGTTAGGTGGTATTCAAGCTTCTGATGGCCGGCCGAGAAACGACGCAGGCATGCAGAGGAGACAGGATATCACTTGGCATGAAATGAGCAGATCTGGAGATACTGCATACCGAGGCTGCTAGAGGTTTCTTATTCAGAGAGTTCTCTATGATTTTTTTCGGGCTGCGGTTCTTCCCAATGAGAATCACTTAGGCGACTAAAGGCCTTTACATTGGGACATCACATGTCGCACAAATATCATCACGGATACCTGGTAGAGATCTGAGCTGGAGACTTTCCACCTATTTTTAGTGATCGTATGCTACCTCAATTTGATGTTAGGTGAGACTGAAGTTTCGCCCCATTACTCATGTGTTGTAAAAGCGCACTTATGCGTGCATCTAATAAATAAATAAACAAATATGGGGCAATACGCTGCCTGCCTTCAATCTTGAATCTTTTATCCAATACGGGCGGTAATGTCCCAACTTCAGCTGAAGCAAATTCCAAATTCAGTGCACCCAGGTGAAATCGGTCCCGTCGCGTCGAGCAGATTATTGTGTCACTGGTGACCTAGATCCTCGATTGTTTACGGGTGCATGTGCCCGAAAACGAAAACGAACGAGTGATAATGAGGTCGTTATCGCCGAGCGATAAACAGTATCATATCTCCTTATCATTAACTCTGTGAGATATCGAACAATGCAAACTGGGTCGTAGATCAAACCGCACGGCGACACCAAAAATCACCAATATGGGCCTTCACCTTTCTCGAAAAAATGAAAGGATTAAGTACGGTTGAAGGGTGAAGAATAGTTTTTAGCAATTGTGCTTTCAGAGACCACCAGTTTACAACACCGTGGATGCTACAAGGAGTTTAACGAGGCCGCTATGCCTTCAGCCAGGAACTAGGCCAATCAGAAGCTTCACTGACATATCCCTGAATCGTGCGCACGATTGATAGCGGCACCTGACAGTAGCACCAGCTACCAGTACCACTAGTGGTAGTGGTACGAACCTGCAGGTTGACCTTACGGTGGGTGATTCTGGCTTCCATCGTTATTTTTCCAGACTAAGCGCGATCAATCTTTTTGGCACTCAAATACATATGGTGCTGGGAGTCTATCTTAGACCGCCTTTATACTCCAAAACCGGGGAATCAAAAATCGGGCGACTACAACCGAGCGTGCTCAACTGTTAGTAGTTGATCTGATATAACCCGCTTTCTAGGAATCGCATGTGTTGACTCCTTTTATTTTCGCTGAGCATATCACTTTCATCTGGAAACTTCACTTCTGTTTCCATTTTTGATGAAAGCATTTTTTAAAATTACGTTTTACTCACCAGAGCTTTCGAGGAAACTGGGCGCCAGACAGACTGACAGAGCTGATGCAGTCATCTTGGAGGTTGGAGAATTGGAGATTTTACTCAGAAGTTTGAGCACGTTCGTAAGCAGGACGGCATGCGCTTTGGGTAAAATACCCAGAAGCGTCTTACAAGCAGCTATCTGTAAGCGATGAAATTCCTTCGATTCGCCTAACAAAATTAGTACGTACAAACGTCTCTAACTAAATTATTTCTTAATTAAAGAAACCTTTTTCTCATGATCCATCTCGTCCACAACTTCTTTGATCCACAAGTCGTAATTGCCGCTCAGCAGTATTTTGCCCGGGATGCTTCTTAGGTAATCCTTAAATGTTCAGATGATCACGAGTAGCAATGAAATCTTCAGCTCTAGCAGTGGTGTCGTTTAGGGGTCCAAATTGCCGCGATGCGGCACTTACATGGACCTATTTAATTCAACGTGGAAGTGCAACAGTATGTTGAGTCAACTGACAAGGAATATTGTTAGTCTCTGCACGTCGCAGCAACGTGGATCTCGTGGACAACATCCTCTCTAGCCGCGGAAGAGCAGCTCACAGCGCGCATAAATTTAAATGATCGGTTTTCCCAGTTCATCCTTTCAGCATAAAAGCATCTATCTAGAACTGCGCTTTCCTTTTGTTATATTTGATAGAAATTCCTCAATGGCGTAGAATTCGTAGCCAGTAGAACTCCCCTGATTAGCACCGCAGATTTGGTTTCTAAGTCCTCATCTCCCCACGACTTTGTGAACATATGGTATGAAACAGTGTGTCATTTCCATAGCGTCAGACAGAAGTATTTTTGTTCCTTGTGAATGTCTGCCGTATGAAGTCTTTCAACAGTAGTTCTTTCAACATTTTGACTAAGAAACTTAAGTGCTTCAATGGACAAAAATTAACAAAGAAAGCAAGAAGCAAGGACTTATTGCAAGCGGGAGAGTCAAGAGACAGATGCCCGCTCAAGATGGAGTCACTTGCATTCAGGAGGAGCTCCCGCGCCAAAAGCTGCCTTAGCCTCAGCTTCTCTATCTCACACCTGGCGCTGCTCGGCTTTGAGGGGGATTTCGCCATTTTCCCTCGATAAGTTTTCCGTTCAATTACACGTCATACCTTGATGAGACCTGTGATAAAACGAACCTCCTGCTAAAGCATAAATCACAAGGATGTTACAGGTTCCGACTGAGCCCATAAGCAGTGATGCCGACGTAACCGTAAAAACTGCCCCCCACCTGGAGGCCTGTGAACACCGCGTCCCCTGCACCTTTCTGAATAGAAGCAAGACAGCTTCATGCAAGACAGACAAGACAGATTGCAGCGCACACTTGATCCCCTCCACGAGGCTTTCGATCCCTATGAGATAATGGTGAAAGTGTGCTTTTTCACGGACGTTCGCCAGAAACGTACCGGTTCCAGGTTGGAAGTCGAGTGATGTGTCGAAATTCAGGAGAAATTTTAAATAACTTTTAACTCTACCTTTTCAAATAAGTTCTAACTTTTACCTTCATTAACTTACTTTTAAAACAGATGCAAGGACATGAGTTCCATATTTCTTGTAGTCGGGAACGAGTCCTCGTTCGATTTCTGACCGACATTCTCTCAATGTGCTCTGCTTTGGAGACTTCCTAGAAATGGAATAAGATGGTGACAGGAGACAAATCACATGGTACTCAGGGCACATTAGAAAATTATTTCCCACTCCGACGCATGGGAAAAAATTTGTTTGTCAGCTTGGCCGCCTTTTATCGCTGTCTCAAGGCGACCTCTAATCTGGAAAATTTCAACTTGTCTCTCCTAGCTGATCCACATAGTGAGAGTACAGTGCGAAAATAAAAATGACTCAATTCCACATCAAGTGCCTAATTTTCAGGCCACTTTTTTGCGGACCAAGCTCCACCCCTCTCTCCCACGTGCCCAAATAAGACACCTTGTCGAGGATATGTTTCACTTTGTCAATCGCTCTTTTTCACTACGATTTGGTGAACGCTCCTCGGCACTGCTGGCTGCAGTTTTGCTTTCGTTAGAGAAAGCTGAGCGGAGAGACTTCAAGATCAGGTGGGGCGTAAATCCATCTCAGACAATATGTGGCATTCAACCGCAGCAGAGAGACCTTGGCAACCTGCTGTGGTCCGATGAGGTAATCGGCGCGGGTAATTTCTAAACCCCGGAGCTCGCCTTCACCGCCGTGATAAATGATAGGCCATCGCTAGAAAAAGTGTGACAGGAGAAAGGTCCTCATCGTATCATAAGTCAATGTCAAGGTAAAATCTCTTCAACTCGTGGTGAGTCGTAACAAAGGAGTTACACCACCTTGTCTTCCTTTCATTCCATTATCGTTACAGTATCTACTTCTAACGGCATATCTGTAGCAATGATACGTATAAAAACGCTCTGTACAACCAAAAAGGCGAGTTTACCTGAACACGCCCTCCATATCGTAACCGTGCATTCTTAGATGGTCGACGATGCTCATCACCGGTTGTGGAGGAGTGGGACCATC